TATTCATTTCTCAGTCCTCATTTCTCACATTTGTCGTTTCTAACATTTCTCATCATCCTAACATCTCGTATTTCTCATATTTCGTTTATTATTCATTTCTCAGTTCTTATTTCACACTACTCATTCGATATTTCACATTTCTCATTTTTCATTTTTTCTCATTATTCATTTCCCATTTCTCATTTATCATTTAACATATCTATTCGAATACTAACTACTTTAAAAATTATATGAAGCAGTTTCTCCTGTCAAATGCTTTCTACAGTGTCAAAGAGTTTCGCGACCATGTATTCTAAGTTCGATTTATCTGTTTGTATTTGTTGTCTACATGTGTCTAATTGTGATATACCTACTTGTTATTTCTGTAGAATATTGTATACATGTTTTTGTGTGGAACGATGCCAAATGTAGTGTTTCTATGTAACGGCTGAATAAAGTTATTATTGTTATTATTATTATTTCTCATTTTATATTTCATATTTCACATTTCTTATTTCTCACTTCGTGTCATTTCTTATTTCATAATTCATATTTCTCATTTTTCATTTATTATTCATTTCTCAGTTCTCATTTCTCACATTTATCGTTTCTAGCATTTCTCATCATCCTAACATCTCGTATTTCTCATTTTTCGTTTATTATTCATTTCTCAGTTCTTATTTCTCACTTCGTGTTATTTCTCATTTCATAATTCATATTTCTCATTTTTCATTTCTTCTCATTTCATCTTTCTCATATTTCTTATTTCTCGTTTATTATTCATTTCGCAGTTCTCATTTCTCATTTCATAGTTCACATTTCTCACTTCGTGTCGTGTCTCATTTTTCATTTCTTCTCATTTCACCTTTCTCATTTCTCACATTCATCGTTTCTCACATTTCTCACCATCCTAATTTCTCATATTTCTCATTTATCATTTCCCATTTCTCATTGTCCATATTTTTCATTTCTCATTTCACATATCGCATTTCTCACTTCGTGTTACTTCTCATTTCATCTCTCTCATTTCTCAGATTTGTTGTTTCCCATATTTTTTATTTCTTCTGATTCCTCACTTTTCTCGTTTCATGACTCATATTTCTCATTCCACATTCCTCATTTCTTATTTCATAATTCTCACATTTTGCATTACAATTTCCTATTTTATATTTCTCATTACATAATCCATATTTCTCAATCCAAACATTTCTCACATTTTTCATTTATCATTTCCTCTTTCTTCTCATTTCTTATTTCACATCTGAATTTCTCATTTAGCATTTCCCATTTCGCTTCACATTCTACATTTCCCATTTCCAGTTTCGCAGCTGGCACTTCGCATTTCTCATTTTACATTTCGGATTTCGGATTTCTTTTTCGAATCCCTCATTTCACATTTTGCTTTACCTTTCACATTCTCGATTTCTCATTTCTCATTTTGCATTCCGCATTTCCCATATCGCAGTTCGAATTTCTCATTACGCATTTTTTATTTCCTATTTCGCTTCGCATTCCACATTTCACTTTTCGCATTTCTCGTTTCTCATAAATCATTTCTTATTTCGCATTGATCATTTCTCATTACTCATTTTACATTTCTCATTGCCCATTTTGCTACGCATTCCGTATTTCTCATTTCACACTTGCATTACTAGCAAATTTAACGTTTATAAGTCAATAATTTCTGACATCTGTCATTTTTGATGATATGTACCATAGAAATAATATTATATGGAAGTAACTTAGAGAGAGACGCGCGTTGCCAACACAGTGGGACAGAGATAGGGCTCTCTGGGTGGCAAAACATTGACGCGAAGCTGCAGAGCACTGTGTTTCTGGCGGTTTCTTTCGTGCTGTCGCATGGTGTTTAAAGGTGTATTTTTGCAAATTTACGCTTTTTAGGCTCAAGTTACCGTATTTAAATGACTACAGTCTTCTTAAGTTGTATTTTATCGAACTATTTGTTAAACATCGTGAAATCGTGTTGTGCGTATAATTGCAAAGAACGTGCAAAGAAAGCAATCCTGTTTCATTTCATAGGCAATAATCACATATAGAGACGAAGGATTTCGTAATTATAATTTAAAAATTTTGTTAGATTTCCTAAACATTCCGAATTACGAAAAAAATGAATTGTTGCTACAAAAAGAGGGAATTTTATATCTATTGATTATTGTTTTAGTTATTTGTACGTGGATTTAGAAAATAGATTTTGCTAGAAAATTCCACCCTCTTTAATATGTTCAATTTAATTAGGCACCCTGTCACTTTTATCGAAAGTTTAATTAATTTTATCCTAAAAATTTCAGATTTACCAATGAACATACACTACAAAATTAGTTAACTTGTAGAAGATTATTGTATTAACTGAATTCGTAATATATTGTAGATTGTGTATACATTTTATTTTATTAAAAGACTATCTCCACCACTTAACATGATTTTTGTTGTTTAATATTTCACATAATTTTAATGTAAACTGTAAAAATATAGTTTTCATTAACAAACGTTTGTTATAATTGATTGTTTGAACAAATTCGTAAGAAAACGTATTAATTCCCGTTCAAATGAAGCGTTTTTTGCCACCCAGCACGTGCTAGTGGTCAGCCGTCCTTTTCCCACTGATGCCATAACAACTCTTGCTATTTCTTTCTTGTGTTGATTACACTTGCTCGCGTATGGAAACGTATACAAGGCTCCATCCACTCCTTTATTAGATCAATGATATGTACACAATATACCCTCATTCTCTGCTCTCGTAGGGATATAACCCAAACTGTATTATTGGTTGCCTAAAGCAAATTTTTAGCTACCTTTACGAATTGTATTACAGGCTTGCCAACTTTAAGGTAACTTCAACAACAACTCCTACGGATATTTAGACAACGCTGTGATAATGTATTATAGATATGATAACATGTCTTCTTCCAAAGAACCGCATGGTAAACTAATGCGAGCAGAAAGTGTAGAAATTAAGCCAACAACAATATTAACCCTTATACAGGGTCATTATAAAATATTGTAGTCGAAGAAGGCCATGATTTTGGTGACATTTTGTGCCGCCTTTTTCAGTTTTGTGGAAAGGATTACACTAATATTGGAATTTTTATTTTTAGCGCCACATTAGTTGACATTAGCACCAGTGTTGCCACTTCTACCGAATTTTCGGTAGATCTACCGATTTTGGGCTCTGTCTACCGATCTACCGATTGAAACACAAAATCTACCGAAAAGTCTACGATAATTCAAGAATTTATTTTTAATGTATTTATAAATTTTCAATAATTTTTTTTATATAATTTTATTTCTTAATATTTTTTTCAGTATAGATTTAGTTCTGCGGATTTGTTTAGTTCCCTCTATTACGCACCAGCGTAACCACTATACATTTTTACAGATAGCGCCAAATATCTATTCTTTTTAAGCGCGTTATAATTAAAAGGGGATGTTCTGGTTCCGGTTCGTAGGACCAATGTGGAAACTGTAGTGATTATTATTTGTGGAAAGACGTGTACTTTTAACAACGATTTATTGATTATTATGTACATGTCAATATATATACTTGATAATGAAACATTATGTATTTTTGCGACGCGTGCTCGTTGACGGGTTGTTGGTTACTCTATAATATAAGGATTCGTATTGTTCACGGGGATCACTAAGAGGTTCTGACGAAGTGCTCTCTTCATCAGTTTGGCCAGTAGGGGAATTTTCTAATGACTCGATAATTATTTGCAATTTATCTAACTCGTCTAATAAAGGCTTAATGCGTGTTAGTCTGTATTTAAGTTCTACAACATCATGTTCAGAGTTAACATTGTCTAAGAAATTATCGTACCTATTGAGCTGGTTAATGATTATTTTTTGTTGATTCTTACTGTGCTGTAACTTTTCTATCATTTTGGGAGGCATATTAGCGAATAACGAAATGCAGTATTATTGATCGCGAAATCGAAATCGACACTTATCGAATTCTCGAATTATGGATTGGATAGGAAGTGAAATAATGGAGTCCACTAACCTTGACTCTGGTTCTGGAGATGGTGTTCCTCCTGCCGTCCTGCGGGATTGATTGCGGTGGTGACTCTCCGCCGAAGATGCTGTCCAAATTTCAAGTTGATTCCAACTCGGTGCAACGTGGTGGTGATCCTTTTGTAGGAATGCTGCCCACTGCTGCCGTCGCTTCCAGTTGATGATAATGATGTCGATTAGCGAAATGTATTTCTGCGCGATTTGATCCAACCCGGCTCGATATGGACCAATGTTTCGGCTCGAAGACCAATGTTTCGGCTCGAAGACCAATGTTGCGGTTGAAGTGCCAATGTTTCGTACAACCCGAATCGTAGTACCAACGTTTTTTGTAATTTTAGTACTTCTGTAACCGTCCTACATAAAACATGAAAACCGAACGCTGTCCATTATTTCAATTATAGCAAACAAAGGTCCTTCGAGCAATATCAAGGTACAATTCGGAAGACCATACATGGTCGTATCAACAATTACAAAAAACGTTGGTACTACGATTCGGGTTGTACGAAACATTGGCACTTCAACCGCAACATTGGTCTTCCAGCCGAAACATTGGTCTTCGAGCCGAAACAGGGGATTTTTTTTTAATTAGTTAGACAAAATTCAGTATATCCCCGAAACAGTTCAGCACCTGAGGCAATAATTAAGGGGAATATTATAGTTTCATTGTGTTTTTATTTTTAACAAAATGTTCCTACTACCTTTAGCATGTTTACTCATAGATATATTTTTTTAAATGATCTATGTTAATATTTGTTTTTTATTTGTTTCTTTTTAATAACAAAATATTTCTACCTTCTTCATAAATGAGAAAAAATAAACGTACCTATTATTTATGTGTAATACCTTTTCTATCACAAAAAACCGATCTACCGAAAAAATGCCGAAATTTACCGAAAATTATCCAAGAAATCTACCGATAGTAAGTAAAACGGCGTGGCAACGCTGATTAGCACAGACATTATTAATTCTGTCAGATGTCAATAATTTTTTCGTTTGTACTGGTACGTTTTCCCTCACTTTGTGCGTTAATTGACTTGTCTTGTTTTCATTTTTGCTGTCTTCCCCATTGTTAGAACTTTAATAAGTGTCTCAAAAAACAGTTTTTATCAAAACTACAGATCATTGTGGAATAATCTCAGGTAATGAACAGAGAGGAATAACTATGGTTAGTGTTACAAATGATTTTTTTAGTTCTTTGGCGCAATCATCATGCCTATTACCGTAATGGGGTGTTAAATGAGGATGGGGATGGAGTGTACTCTGTGGAGGCGTCTAAAAACGAGTATCTAGTGAAATGTTCTGTTGTCATTGATGAAGAATCTTTGAAGACGCTATATGGCGAATTATGGCCAGATTTAACGACACTGGTAGCATTTCTAAGTGAAAACCGACGGGGAGACCTCAAGTTAGTGAAGACGTTGAAGATTTAAGGATGAGAATGGAACAAAGTCCGAATAAAGCTTTGTCAAAAATCTTTACTGTCCGGAGTACCATACAGCCCATGTCAGAAAATCGTAAAAGAGAAGTTACATATGCATCCATACAAGATTTTGTTGGTTCAGGAGCTGCAACCAGCTGATTTTCCTTGCCGCGTTGGGTATTGTAGTTGGTTTCAAGCTGATATGGACGATAACGGGATTCTCGATTTGTCGTTCTTTTCTGATGAAGCCTGGTTTCATCTGTCAGGCTATTATGTCAACTGACAGAACTTCAGAATTTGGTGTATAGAAAATACTCACGCTTTTGAAGAAACACCATCACACGCAATGAAGGTTGGTGTGTGGTTAGCTGTTTCCAGACGACGATTCATAGGCCTGATACTTTTTCAAGTAAATGAATGTGATCAATAAACAAAATTAGATGTAGAAAGTGTATGTAGGTACTGCAATAAAGTTTTTTATTTTCAGTAACTTTCATTTTTCTTTCGGTGTTAGTTGCATTTTCTTAATTTAAAACTTACTTCAACTTACTGTTTAGTAATAATTGTAATTTTACTATTAGGAAAGTTAAAAATCTTTATTAAACATTCTGTTGTTTCAAGAGATCTCATAATCATCTACAGAACTCTTAACACTATGCTCCTGAAATTTTATTGGTTTTTTCATCTTTTTTGTTATTGAAATTTTGAAAAATCTTGATATGAGGATGGCCATGTGGGCGCGTTTTGGGTAGAACCTCTTTGACATTCCTGTTATGCAGATCTGGCATGTTTCAGATATCTAGAAACTGCAAAGCTGAAGGTAATGTTTGGACATAGCAGTTTTCACCTATTGTAGGGATGAAGATCAAGGCTTTCAGTTGTGTTTTTTCAAGAGAAAAGCACCGGTCACAAACCATGTCTGCACCAATATTTTGACGATTCCTTACAATTTACAAACAGAACTTTCGCGGGATCACAACTTTGGCAAAATTATTTACTGCAAAAACTCATTAGGTACTCATAGTGTTCGTTAACTGTGATAAGACTTGCTCTGCCATTGTCCATTACGTGATTTTTCACAATTTTTACCTTCAGGGTACCTATAAAAATGTAATTTTTTAAATAATTACCGTGTTCATTGGTTTCGACAAACTTAACCTCACTTTTTGGATTTCATTATTTGAAAAATTATTGCTTCTTTGCAAAACAGACCAGATGATTTATTCTGTTCAACTCCAATCGACTTTCCAAGGTGTAATTCATGACAAAGCCCTTAAACGTTTTTCTGACAATTTACAATTTTTGAAACTGAAATGTATTGCAGTGGCGTTCACAAATGCTCGATAACACTGCAACCCTTAATGCTCTGGCCTGGCGTCTTTTCGTGTCTATTTAAAATGAAATTAAATCGCAAACCTGGCATGTCAATTTTTGACACATTTGATAGATTTGTTTCGACGTTCGTGACATTTCAAAAGAGTTGAAATCATTTTGGTGATTAGCGGCACGAGAAAAATTTCAATTGTTTTTCATAGGTGAGTTGACTACAGTATTTTATAATGACCCTGTATAAATCAGAAATAAATTTTCCAATTTGTTATTTTTTCCTTCAACTGATTGTTTCCTAGCAGTATAGACATTCAATAAACGCAACACCTTAAGTTTCGAAAACTTAATGCACAAAAAACAAACATAACCTGGAATTTAGTTACTTTTCAAGTTAATCCTTGATTGAAAAATAATCATAGTTACAATGGCACCCGTTACCAAAGCAACGACACCATTATAAAAACAAAAAATCAACACACCTTGTTTGTCAATGTTCCGAAAGTCACATTTCTTCCGTCAATTTTTTTTGTTGCTGTTACTAAGAATCAGATAATGGACCCTGAAGATGCCGTTCTGCATGCCATTGCATGCAAGATGCCGTATGCAAGATGCCAGACTGTTTTTTGAGACACTTATTAAAGTTCTAACAATGGGGAAGACAGCAAAAATGAAAACAAGACAAGTCAATTAACGCACAAAGTGAGGGAAAACGTACCAGTACAAACGAAAAAATTATTGACATCTGACAGAATTAATAATGTCTGTACTAATCAGCGTTGCCACGCCGTTTTACTTACTATCGGTAGATTTCTTGGATAATTTTCGGTAAATTTCGGCATTTTTTCGGTAGATCGGTTTTTTGTGATAGAAAAGGTATTACACATAAATAATAGGTACGTTTTTTTTTTATCATATATGAAGAAGATAGAAATATTTTGTTATTAAAAAGAAACAAATAAAAAACAAATATTAACATAGATCATTTAAAAAAATATATCTATGAGTAAACATGCTAAAGGTAGTAGGAACATTTTGTTAAAAATAAAAACACAATGAAACTATAATATTCCCCTTAATTATTGCCTCAGGTGCTGAACTGTTTCGGGGATATACTGAATTTTGTCTAACTAATTAAAAAAAAATCCCCTTTTAATTATAACGCGCTTAAAAAGAATAGATATTTGGCGCTATCTGTAAAAATGTATAGTGGTTACGCTGGTGCGTAATAGAGGGAACTAAACAAATCCGCAGAACTAAATCTATACTGAAAAAAATATTAAGAAATAAAATTATATAAAAAAAATTATTGAAAATTTATAAATACATTAAAAATAAATTCTTGAATTATCGTAGACTTTTCGGTAGATTTTGTGTTTCAATCGGTAGATCGATAGACAGAGCCCAAAATCGGTAGATCTACCGAAAATTCGGTAGAAGTGGCAACACTGGTGCTAATGTCAACTAATGTGGCGCTAAAAATAAAAATTCCAATATTAGTGTAATCCTTTCCACAAAACTGAAAAAGGCGGCACAAAATGTCACCAAAATCATGGCCTTCTTCGACTACAATATTTTATAATGACCCTGTATAAGGGTTAATATTGTTGTTGGCTTAACTTCTACACTTTCTGCTCGCATTAGTTTACCATGCGGTTCTTTGGAAGAAGACATGTTATCATATCTATAATACATTATCACAGCGTTGTCTAAATATCCGTAGGAGTTGTTGTTGAAGTTACCTTAAAGTTGGCAAGCCTGTAATACAATTCGTAAAGGTAGCTAAAAATTTGCTTTAGGCAACCAATAATACAGTTTGGGTTATATCCCTACGAGAGCAGAGAATGAGGGTATATTGTGTACATATCATTGATCTAATAAAGGAGTGGATGGAGCCTTGTATACGTTTCCATACGCGAGCGAGTGTAATCAACACAAGAAAGAAATAGCAAGAGTTGTTATGGCATCAGTGGGAAAAGGACGGCTGACCACTAGCACGTGCTGGGTGGCAAAAAACGCTTCATTTGAACGGGAATTAATACGTTTTCTTACGAATTTGTTCAAACAATCAATTATAACAAACGTTTGTTAATGAAAACTATATTTTTACAGTTTACATTAAAATTATGTGAAATATTAAACAACAAAAATCATGTTAAGTGGTGGAGATGGTCTTTTAATAAAATAAAATGTATACACAATCTACAATATATTACGAATTCAGTTAATACAATAATCTTCTACAAGTTAACTAATTTTGTAGTGTATGTTCATTGGTAAATCTGAAATTTTTAGGATAAAATTAATTAAACTTTCGATAAAAGTGACAGGGTGCCTAATTAAATTGAACATATTAAAGAGGGTGGAATTTTCTAGCAAAATCTATTTTCTAAACCCACGTACAAATAACTAAAACAATAATCAATAGATATAAAATTCCCTCTTTTTGTAGCAACAATCCATTTTTTTCGTAATTCGGAATGTTTAGGAAATCTAACAAAATTTTTAAATTATAATTACGAAATCCTTCGTCTCTATATGTGATTATTGCCTATGAAATGAAACAGGATTGCTTTCTTTGCACGTTCTTTGCAATTATACGCACAACACGATTTCACGATGTTTAACAAATAGTTCGATAAAATACAACTTAAGAAGACTGTAGTCATTTAAATACGGTAACTTGAGCCTAAAAAGCGTAAATTTGCAAAAATACACCTTTAAACACCATGCGACAGCACGAAAGAAACCGCCAGAAACACAGTGCTCTGCAGCTTCGCGTCAATGTTTTGCCACCCAGAGAGCCCTATCTCTGTCCCACTGTGTTGGCAACGCGCGTCTTTCTCTAAGTTACTTCCATATAATATTATTTCTATGGTACATATCATCAAAAATGACAGATGTCAGAAATTATTGACTTATAAACGTTAAATTTGCTAGTAATGCAAGTGTGAAATGAGAAATACGGAATGCGTAGCAAAATGGGCAATGAGAAACGTAAAATGAGTAATGAGAAATGATCAATGCGAAATAAGAAATGATTTATGAGAAACGAGAAATGCGAAAAGTGAAATGTGGAATGCGAAGCGAAATAGGAAATAAAAAATGCGTAATGAGAAATTCGAACTGCGAAATGGGAAATGCGGAATGCAAAATGAGAAATGAGAAATCGAGAATGTGAAAGGTAAAGCAAAATGTGAAATGAGGGATTCGAAAAAGAAATCCGAAATCCGAAATGTAAAATGAGAAATGCGAAGTGCCAGCTGCGAAACTGGAAATGGGAAATGTAGAATGTGAAGCGAAATGGGAAATGCTAAATGAGAAATTCAGATGTGAAATAAGAAATGAGAAGAAAGAGGAAATGATAAATGAAAAATGTGAGAAATGTTTGGATTGAGAAATATGGATTATGAAATGAGAAATATAAAATAGGAAATTGTAATGCAAAATGTGAGAATTATGAAATAAGAAATGATGAATGAGGAATGTGGAATGAGAAATATGAGTCATGAAACGAGAAAAGTGAGGAATCAGAAGAAATAAAAAATATGGGAAACAACAAATCTGAGAAATGAGAGAGATGAAATGAGAAGTAACACGAAGTGAGAAATGCGATATGTGAAATGAGAAATGAAAAATATGGACAATGAGAAATGGGAAATGATAAATGAGAAATATGAGAAATTAGGATGGTGGGAAATGTGAGAAACGATGAATGTGAGAAATGAGAAAGGTGAAATGAGAAGAAATGAAAAATGACACGAAATGAGGAATGAGATATGTGAAATGGGAACTGAAGAATGAGAAGAAATGAAAAATGAGACACGACACGAAGTGAGAAATGTGAACTATGAAATGAGAAATGAGAACTGCGAAATGAATAATAAACGAGAAATAAGAAATATGAGAAAGATGAAATGAGAAGAAATGAAAAATGAGAAATATGAATTATGAAATGAGAAATAACACGAAGTGAGAAATAAGAACTGAGAAATGAATAATAAACGAAAAATGAGAAAAACGAGATGTTAGGATGATGAGAAATGCTAGAAACGATAAATGTGAGACATGAGAACTGAGAAATGAATAATAAATGTAAAATGAGAAATATGAATTATGAAATGAGAAATGACACGAAGTGAGAAATGAGAAATGTGAAATATGAAATCAGAGCTGGAAA